ATTTTCAATAAGCAATCCTGAAAAATATTTGGGGGTGCTGAACTTTCTTCCAGGTGTATATATGTACATTGTCCAATTTACATATGCAAAGAAATGTTTTACATCTGTATACTTGTATAAGAAATGTTCACTTTAGCTAAATAATTTAGGTATTTAAAAGTGTCTTGCTTATTATAAAATAGAATTATTTTACAAGCATTTTAATTTTAAAAAGAATAAATATTTCTGATTTCATCCCTCTCCATCAGAAAAAAAAATTGATATAAGAAAGTTCTTTTTTTTTTTCTATTGGATTTTTATAGCTCATTATTTGCTTACCAGAAACTGAAAGAGAAACGAAACTGTGAAGTGGGTAGTTTTATCCTTCGTCAGAGTACATCTTGTTATGGGGAATTCAGATTAGATGTTTGCTGTTCTCAAAATGTGAATGAAACTGAAGGAAGGCCTGAAACTTTTCAAATAAAAATTTATGATGAAAACTACTATATAAATAATTTAAGTGATGTGAAGGAGTCTTTTCCTACAATTCCTCAGCTGATTGCACATTACAGCCAGAATAATAGTAATTTACAGTTGAAATATTGCATTCCTCCTTCTGAATATGGTGAGTTTTGCTTCTTTATTTTTTGTGAAATGTTTCAAAATTGCAGATATTTGTTTTTATTAATTATGGTCTTTTTTTATATAAAATCTTCTAAAGGACTTTTCAATGTTTCAATAAAAGTATTTCATGGACAAAAATTATGTATCTTTAATCTAGTATTTTCCATTAGAAGAGCTTAAAAATTCTAAGTGACAAAAACATTTATCAGGCATCTAGCTGTATTCTCTTTCATATGTTAACATAATATTAAAAGATTATGTATATTGTAGATGACACATTGTCTAAACTTTATAAACATGAACTTTTGTGTTCACTTAATGCAGCATATTAAAAATGAAATTTAATAAAATACCTTGCCACCATAATTGGCTAGCCAAAATGAAAAAGAGCAGCATAACATAATGTACTCAGTGAAATATGGATGAGCATATAGGTTAATGAACTGATAAATGTTTTTAAAATAATACAATTATAATGAAATATCAAAATACAAAGAAAATGTTTTTGTGATAGATGTCATATGAAAAGTATTTATAGCAAATCAAGTGGAAAATCATTAAAATGGTAAAAACAAATATTAACATATAGTGTTAAAATATATTCAGAAAGACATCTAAATAACTATACAGTTGTTTTTGATACCTCAACTCACAAGATTAGCTATTCTCATCTATATACGAACTTTTTCCTTTTGCATGCCACAAGCTTTCTGCACCTCCATATTGGAATTACAAGATTCCAACATGTCTCATGCATATTTTCATGCATCACCTCCTTACCAGTAAGAGCACAGCATGCTGACATGACACATATGACACCCTCTACTCTTCTCTACTGACTTTTTACTTTTCGTTTGACAGCACTTGTGTTTGGACATGCTTTTTGTTTGTTTAAAGATTCACGTTCTGCTTAAGTTTCCTCAAAGTGGTTTTCTTTAATTTATTTAGTTTTCATTATGACTCTTTCTTCAATTTGACAAATTCTGTCAGTTAGTTCCCATCGCATTATTCGTTTTCACCACTTGAATTTAGTGAACTCTTATTCACAATGAATTTTGAAGTTCTTATTCTTACTTTGGTGGTCACACCAGAGACTTGTGTTATTTCTCAGGCCTCGGGTGCGGGTGACCCAACGGTGGATTTTCCTTGTTTATCCACCAGAAGATCGAACGTTACATGGGCCAACCCCTAACTCTCCCAAAAGGGAATACTTGTTCAGACTGATGGGAACTTGGATCATCTATTTCTGCCTCTTGATTTTACCATACCTTCCCGCTTCCCACTTGAACTAACTCAGTCTTTTTGAATTTGTTTCTCAGGTATGTGATGTTTTATCCCTTTTTCCTATTACTTATGAGCCAAATCATTCCTTAATACATGACCAATCCTCTTACCCTTTTTGATATTCTCCTGATATTTGGGTTCATGCTGATTAACTTACCTTGCAATTAAGTGATGGGTTTAGCATCCTCCCCTACCTCTGCAGGCTTCAAATCAGTTAGCGCTTTCCAACTGTCATGCTGGCTGTCTCGTTTTGGACCAACAATTGTTAGGTTCCATATTGCCTGTTTCGAGCAAGGTTCCCGAATCACCTATCAGTCTGACCCATGCTAATAACTCTCGCCTGTTTCTTACCCTTATAACTTTTATTGTATCTTTCTTCTTTACATCTCCTCTCTGTGGCTCTCCACAGAAATCATGAGGGGTTTCCTTTCCCTTCTTTCCTCCACACTATCTTGTTTGTTGTCTTTGACTCTGGTTTAGCATACATGGTTTCTCTGTTGTTTGGATCTTTTAGGTCATGATGCAGATTTGGCTCAGGTCTATTTACCATTGACTAAGCTTCTTAGATTTATGTATGGCCCCATTTCTTTTGTGATATAATTTTGACATGATCCCAGAAACAATAGCATCATGGGTGGAATCAGTCCAACAACAATCTACCTTTACCAATATTATTGTACATTTGTTTCAATCAGTGCCCCCATGTGCCTGCTGTTACCGTTTCCTGTCCTTCCCCTTCCCAACCCTTACCTGTCCCTTCTCCTTGGAGTGAGTCTTCTCATCATTTTTGTTTTTTGATGACACACCTCAAGTCGCCACCAGTACCAGTGATCATTGAGTGGGTTCTGGTCCGATGGGAGTTTGGCTTCACAATTTCTTATCACTGGCGGTTCCTTTGTCGAGGATCAATGAGTTCTTCAGGTTTTGTCAGAAGGATTTGTTATCCCCTTCCTTGCTCCACCTTCCATGCTTCCTCTCCCCCTTCTTTCCCTTTTTCTTGGAATCCCGTGACCAATCAGTATCTGTCAGAAGCAGTTCGTAAATTGCTATCTCATCAGTCTTCGAACCTATTCTACATCCTTCAATAGGTTTTTATTCCCCACTTTTGTTGTTCCCACAAATAAACGGGGACTGGAGGCTGATCACAGATTTATCTCAACAGCTTCATTCATTTGCCCTGGTTTACCATAGAGTCTTTTCTTATCCGGAGGTAGGAGTTTTCTCCTGTTTTATGGATGACCATAATGGATCTCGCCAAGGTTTACCTCCATATACGTATATCACTTATCTTTAGTTTGTCCATCTCGGGTGGTTTATGAATCTCGTGCACTATCATTTGGGTTTGCTTTGGCCTCTTAAGTTTTCTGTCAAGTAGTCCAGGCATTTTGCTCGATATCTTTATGCTCTGGGATTAAGTTTCTCTCTCTTACCTGGACAACTGGTTTCTTCTGGCTCATTCTGAACTGGAGTCAGTCAGCCATTCTCAGCACCTCCCTTTAGTGGCTGCTCAGGTGGGCTGGCTAATCAAACTGGAGTAGTCCTTCTTCAGATCTCATCAATATATTTTATTTTGTGGGTGTTTTTTGACACTCAAATCAGTCGGGCCCAGGCTTTTGTCTGATTTCGTTCTATGGACTTTTTAGTTTACCATGCCCCCTTGGTTTCATCACCTACTGCTCATGACGTTCTATCACCTTTGGGGATGTGTTGATCAATGACATCACTGGTCTCCTTCAGTGGGTGCTTCATGATCAATGGAACCTTGCTTGGGATACTCTTTCCACCCCTCATTTCCATTCTTTTTTTCTCTGTGAGACAGTCTGCTTTGGTGGGACAAAGCCCATACATTAGCAGGCATGCCACTTCTTCCCTTGTGTCTGGATCTACATCTTTTCACAGAGGCATTCCTTCAGGGATGGGGGGAATGGGTCAATCACCAAGAGGCTTAGGGCCATTGGTCAGTGGACAAAAGTGCTTCGCTTGCTGATGTTCTCAAATTTCTAGCCACACATCAGGTGGGCATTGCATCTCTTCCTTCTTCTCTGGTGATGGTTCATTCAGATAAATCTATGGTGGTAGCACATATCAACCACTAAGGAGGCACCCAATCCAGAGATCTATGTTTTTGGACATTGGATCTCTTATCCTAGGCCCAAGCACATCACATTCATTATATTGCATGTCATGTGCCGGGTGCTTTCAATCTGGTCACAAATTGTTTTTCTCACCCCCTCCAGATATATCCCACAGAGTCATAATTAGATCCCTTCCTTTTTTAAGGGATCTTTGCTATTGGTGGGGTTCTCCCAATGTGGATGCCTTTGCTGCAGGCATCAACAACAAGGTACTCCTCTTTTGGTTGCCTGTACCACATCCCCAGGCTCTGGCAGTCGATGCCTTCAGTCAGGAGTATCTTTATGTGTAACCACCTATCCGATTAGTTCATCGGATGATTTCTTTCATCCACTCCACTCCTGTTGGGTCCTCCTGATTACTCCTTATTGGCCAGCTCAGCCTTGGTGTCCATGGTTACAAGACTGCTCCTCTCCCCTCCTGTCCCTCTTCTGCTTTCTCCCTACCTTCTTCATCAGCCCCAGTCACATGTCCTATATCCCACTCTTCATGTTCTGCGTCTTCATGCCTGGCTTTTGTCTAGTCCTTGGTGAGAAGATCCTGTTTCACACACCAGTGTTAGTTGGTTCCATCTTCCATAGAAGTGTATCAATGCAAGTGGAAGGTATTCCATTGTTGGTCTACAACTAGGGGATTTCTTGCTGACCAGCCTATTGTGGCTCTTTGACCGTGGGTCTTCGGTTTCTTTGCTTTTGGAATATGGGGTGGCCTTATCCCATACCTTTTGTTTTTCCAGATACTGTAGAGTTTTTACTTACCATGATCATGCATTCTTTCCGGATACATCACCATCCCAGGTGACTTCCCCTTCTGGATTGGAATGTTAATGTGGTCCTCCATTCTCTTACATTACCTCTATTTGAAACACTTTGCTCGTGTTCCATGTTTCATCTTTCCCTTAAAACATATTTCCTTCATCTCTTAGCCTGTGGATGTCGATGATCTGATTTGTTTGCTATTAATGTTTCTCGTACTCATTATCAACCTACCTACCTTTATTCAGATCATTCTTTTGTCCCAAAGACCTCGGTAACTCAGGATGGTGCTTCCTCCTATTTCCCTTCCTTCTATTTCCCATCTTTGTTTGAATTTGTTCCAGTTGTCCTCCCATCAGATCTGACACCTCACTTTTTCCCTTGCTTCTCGGCTTTGTCATCCAATGGAGGAGATTCTGTAGTCCGGCATGTGGACCACACCCAGTACGTTCATCTCTACTATCTCCATCATATCGTGGTTTCCTCTTCATCAGGGTTTTGTCTACCACCTTTGGCAGTTCTTCAGACTTCAGTGCAAATCTAACTGTTAATTTTTATTCATACTTTCTTTTCAAGGGCCTTTATCTATTTCTTTATCCCATGGATCTTGCACTGTGGCGAGTGGTGCCTGACAAGGTATTCTTTAACCTGTACTGTCAAGCCATGTTGACTTGAGCTTTATCTTCCATGGCTTCGTGCTCACCGTTGAGATGATTTGTTCCACAAGATCACTTGTAGGTGCATGACTTCATGATATTTCGTTTCATAAACATGACCATACCACTCATGGACTGCATGGGTAAAGCAGAAGGGGATTGCTGCTCATTCCTGCCATGCCTGGAGAGAATAACTCCTTATGGTCTGCCTTTCAAAATAAAGTTTTGTGTTCACCCATTGCACTGTCTTAGGTGAAGATGTTCCTCCAGACTCTCCACCACATTGTCACCCTCCTTTCTTTGAGTGGAGTGTGGGAGTCCTTACCACTTTCTAGTTCAAAGCTGTTGGGGTGTTTAACCATGGAGGCACCCTGCTGAAGGAGTTCCACACAATAACCATTCAGTTACAGAGTAGGGTGATGGTGTTCTTCAGGTGTAGATGACGTGATATCCTGCTATTTGTGATAACCAGTGACAACGGAGTGAGAGTTAGAATGCAGTTCACCCCTTCTTTTGGGATCCCTCATCCTACCTTTGCATTGATTTTGGTACCCCGTGGGGAGGTTTTGGAACCAATCAACATAAATCCTCACACAGGTTTTGGGTTGTCTATCTTCCTCCTTCAATTTCCTCTGTCTGTGTTGTGGGTTACAGTGGTGGTACGTGGGATTATTCTGGTTCTGTCCTTGGCTATCCCACGTATTTTCTTTTTACAGGGATGTTATTGCCATTTGGATAGTCCTGGCCTGTTTCATGGTTGAGGGAGTTGATTGCATGAGATAGACATCCTTTCAATACTGGATGTCAAGTTCCCAGACTGATAGCTCAGAGCTAATCCTCATGTCATACCTGGGAATCAGAGTGGTTCTCAATCTCTCAGTTCTTGGGTTTGAGGTAAAGATGGTATGATCCTCATCTTACCCTCACTTGGGTGTCGGTACCCTGTGGGCAGGCTTTGATTGTAGTTGACTTACCAAATTGACTTTGTTTACCCACCTTTCTCATTGTGGGATTGAGTTACAGGATATTTCTGTGGTTAGGATCACTTTTCTGCCACATTTTCTCCTCTCATTTTCCGCCTTGATATTTTAAGCATTCCACAGTTGGGTGAAGAGTATACCTGGCTTAGGAGTGGTGTGGTTACCCTCTTCTTTTCTTTGGATCTGAATCTCTCATTTCCAGGTGTATCCTTTAGATATTTTTGGAGGGTACTTCTGTCTTTCCCTCACACTTTCCCTCTTTATCAATGTGGGATTCTAGCTAATCTTGTGTGAAGAGGTATGTATGTCATGCTCCTATTGGTGAGTTGGTGATGCATGATGTTTGCATGAGAGACATGTTGGAATCTTGTAATTCCAATAGGGGGGCAAAAGGCTTGTGGCATGTGTAAAGAAAACGTTTGCATATAGGGAGCAGCACTGACAGAGAATAGCTAATCTTGTGAGAAGAGGTAATTATCTATCGAAAATACGTTTTCAGTATAGGAAAATTATAACTTTGTATTTCCACAGATAAGACACATCTGCTTTTATGTCGCCCTGAATGTAGTAGCAATCCAAATATGACCATTAGAGGAGAGTGTAATTGTTCAGCACAATGTATACCTCATGATGCTCTGATACTGTCCCTGCACAAAGAATATGAACATCCTGGTCAGTACACAGTTGTGTATCATGCACGCCTGAGAAGAAGTGAAGGAGAATACAGAGAAGTTGCAGTTAAAACACTGAAAAAACATTGTATGAGAGACTATATGCAGGTAGATGTACACTTAAAATATATTTGAAGTTATAGTATAGAAACTATAAAGGTCAATTTGGTGTCAAGAATTTGGCCAGTTCAACTAAGCCCATAGCATGAGTGTTATTGATTCTCAATGCAAGAGAGCAGTAAAGCATAAATCAAAATAATTATTATTGGTTGCTGGTTTTTCTAAGAGGTGGGTCACAACATTAAGTGACCAATGTCTAATTAAGATTAACTGGTGTTTCACCTGATCATTTCTACCAATGACAGTTTCTGTGTGGTGGGTTACTTTTTTCTTATTTTACAGTTGTTGGACAATCCAATTGCAAACAAATATGAACCAATCATAACATATTACACTTGTAGAGGACTATTGAAAGGCCATGGCATCTCATTTGTTGACTCGCATTCAAAATTTATTAAACTACTATTTCAAGAATTTATGTTGATAAGTTTGGTATTAAACTGTAGATTATAATGCAAATTTTAGTACTATACATTACTCAATTTCTTAATTTAAAAGCAAATATTGAAAAAACACAGATAAATATTGATTTTTGTGTGTCATGTAGTATATTGAATGCAGCACTGGTTCGAATTAGATGTTTGTGAAGTCAAAATATTAAATCTATAGTTTTGTATGAATTAGAAACTCCGATATTGACAAACTCGAATATAAAATAAGAATGTCTTATCTTTTCTATTTGCTAAGATATTGCTTATTTGATAAATCAAACACAGTGGCACCCCACCCACCTCTTTCCATTTTTGGAAATGCTCACTTGTATACACTTACTTCTATGTATGACATGAACAACCAATCGTAAGCTCAGAAGGCCCCCTTAGTAGCTTTCTCTGCCATTTTAACAGGCTTGGCACCATTTCTTTCTTTTGAACCAATATTTCAAATAGGTAGGGTGTGTCTCTAGTCTGCTCGAAATTTCATAGTTTTTTTAGACTAAAATATAGCTTAGTTACTAAGATTGATAAATTATAGTGGAATTCTATGGTATTAATGTAGTATTTTATGATTTTTTCTTTATTCAAATGTATATATAAAACCTAAACAAAAATATTTTGTTTCATATCCTCCACTTGCAAAATTTTTAAAGGCTTTGCAACCTACATCAAGCAGCAACAAAGTACAAAGTTTGTGACTAGAAGAGATAATTGTTTTCTTTACTTCTTTATTTACTGTTCTATGTTTAGGAAAAATAAGTTTAAGAACTTATTTCAAAATAACAATAATCTATATACATATATGATAATTGAAATGTGACTGTAGTTTACAAAATACTAGTCTACTAAAACACAGTCAAGACAGGTTATTTTGTAAAGACAAAAAGTCAGTTTTGTATTATTGGATACAGTAACATGAGAGCACATGTGCTGCATCGTTGTAACTTCTCTATTGTTAGCCAGGCATGGCTGAAAGGTCAATATAATAAAAATATATATATAACTGTATAATGTTATGAGAATTAACTTAGTTTAGTCTACACATTTATGTTTTCGTGTTATAATTTGTTGTCATTCTAAAATGAAAGAGGCATAATTTATATTTATTTCCATAGATTAATTACTCAAAATACAGATAAAATATAGAGTTTTTTCTTAAGAAATGTTTGATAACTATCAGGACATTATAGAGATTTCACATGTGAAATATGAAAATTTTCTGATGCATAAAAGTATTTTTAATCTTAAAAGGAAAATTACTTTGGATGATAGATAGGCAAAATGAGAAAACATTGCTTTACAAACTTTAAGACTTAATAAAAAAATTTGATGTTTTGCATATGAAAGCATTGTAATGTTAACTGATAATCTGCCAAATTTTGTTAACATTTGCTTACTAATTTAAAAGTTATAGCATGAAAACTATAACAAGCACAAAATGCTTACAAGATCAGTCCCAGGGACCGAGCCTGTGCTGAAAGTTAATTATAACTTAAAGTTCACATACATAATGAAAAGTGAATATCCCAGATTTTACCAATAATCTCAGTGTAAATTAATTTATATCATAACATGAAATGGAAGTGATTTTTGGTGATAATGATATACATCTTTTCCAATACAAAAATACTTTTTCTTGTAGACTATAATACAGATTAGTTTTATACATAATCAGTAAGTATAAAGATGAAAGTAAGGGAGTAGATAGAACATTATGGTATATACATAGGTAAGAATTTATTTATAGAAGGTTTTAAAAAATCAAATTATCCAAGCAGAAGTATTCAGCAGAACACTAGAAACATCTGTCATAAAATTCTCATAAAATGCTAATGTTTCACAATTTTTGTTATTGAGCTGTTACTATCTGATATAACTCCACTTGTAGCAGTGCTATTGCTTCAAGGACATACACTACATGCACTTGTCTTTTCACCATCCATGTAAAGGTGTGAAGATCAAGCAATGACAGTGTAGAACAACTTTAAAGAGGTGATTTTCTGCAAGACTTGCAGGTGTTAGCAGAACAATTGGTGAACAAGATGCCTCGTGGCTGTAGTTTGTATTTTAAGCTGGAGGAGTCCTTTTACTCAAGTTGAAATAAAGCTATTATCACCAAACATTCTCACACTTTTTTCAGCATTTGGTGTGCCATAAAACTAATAATCATTTCCACTAAATGGCCCATTCTATTTTTTCTTCAAAACCACTAACATTGGTCAAGAAACAAATAACCTAAAGTACTAATATTTAAGTGTCCATCATGAATGCAAATTGACAAATATGACGTAAAAAGATATTATTGGGGGAGTATATATGTATCTCTGATCCATCAATCCCAAGGTTATTGTGTAGGTGCAATTTACATATCAGGCAAAACAGAGATTGACACCATGGTTATACAAAAATGATTAACACACTCCAGAAAAACAAATGCTTTTATTCAAATCTGACACTTCAGATTATGCTTTTCTCAAGGGTTACATCATTGCATACAAATACAAATTGACAACTGAAAAAAACACGACAATTAAACATGACTCAAAAGTAGAGAAGTCGTGTGTTATCATGTGCACTTTGAATGGAATTTGAATGACTAGCGACAGAAAACCACAAACTACAACCTCACTCATATTTTTTTCTGGAGCGTATTAGTTTTTTTAGTTGTTTTTTTTTGGAAACAAACAAGGATTATTTGCTACAAATGGATAAATACAGTTTTGGGTTGAAATTCACTAAACAGTAAAACCTAAGTTATTGTAACCCACTTCAAATTACAATACACTACTGAACTAATCTAGCACAAACATTCATTCACAGTGGTTGCCATACTGAGTCACATAATCAGCTCAACTTCCTTCAGTAAACTTTGTCACTTAGTAACATTTTAGAATTAGCTTTTTTCCACACTAAAAAGTATGATAAGTATAGAAGTAGAAATGAAATATTAAAATAGCTTACCAGTTTGCTATATATTGAGTAAAGGAAGCTTCTGTTATAACTAGGTCTAGAGTAAACTTTGGAAGTACAAGTGTGCAAAAAGTAATATCATTTAGAAAGCATTTTTACTTTGAGTTTCATCACAATTTTAGTTTTGAATATAGAATGCATGCTGCTAGTTTGAGAATAATAATTAATATTCAGAATGAAAAGAAAATTGACAAAATGGGATGGAGAAATCCAACAATTACCTTTTATGATTTGGCAAGGAAACTATCAATATAAAAATGAATATTTTTTTCTGTTAGTTTCCAGAACCTTTATGGTATTTGATTGTCCAATGAAATCAATAGGTTTTCTTAGTGTAATAGCATAGGAATAAACAACCGTGTAACCATCTTGCAATATGTTTTATATAATTCTTGGAAGAGAACCATGCATATGCAACTGAATTGCTACTTGAGCAATTTGTGATAAACCTGATATTTATATAAGAAATTTAGTAGCTGTCACCTATGTCTAAATTGAATCATAGTTTTGTAAATATTTGTTGGACATGTACCCTCAAGCACTTTCCTCACTCAACATGTTTTTGACCAGCAATTTCAGTTTGTTTGTTTTTTGAAGTACCTCAGTCATATGAATGATGTTACTGTAAATGTTTTTCTCGTAAAGTAGAATGATAGCATAAATTAGCTTTTTATTGTATTTTAAACTTATTGATGTTAAAACAGTACAGTTGCCTTACTATCTTTTAAGTAAAACAAATCATGGTAAATTTGTATGTAACACTGATGAAAATGTATGTTTTTTTTTCTTTTACAAGATCACATAGTTGGACAGTTGTCAAATTACCCTTGACATGGATTTATGTATGTGGTTCGAAAACTTCCCAGAGAAGATTCTCTCTGTATAGTTTATCTTCTCCAGGATCCAAACATTCACCCATGTTTTAGCTGTATGTGGCAACCTGTGAAGGGGAGTAGAGGATCCTAGTGCTTGAGTGGTGTCTGTGACACACCACTTTGACCTTGAATTTCTTTAGATGGGTGGTTTTGGGGTGGTCCCCCAGTGATCAGTCAGTTGGTCCTATATGGATAGGATCAACTGAGTACTATTATCAGACATCCTTAGTGTTTGTTGTCGACATTATGCCTGATGCTGGTGTTTTGGTATAGTGCCCATGAAACCCTACTGTGGTTACACTGTCCTAGTTTACAGTGTGGTATCTCCCCATAGAGGACTCCATGGTGAATGAGTTCAGTGGATACTGAATCTTTCTCTTTTTGTTATGGATTTTCAAAAAAACAACAACAACATAATTGCGGGTAATGACCACAATTTAAAAGTTTCATCATGACCTCCATTGCTTCCTTTACTTTGATTTTTGATCTTACACTGTTCTTCCAAAAAGTCTATCCATGATGTTGCACTTTTCATCTAATAGGGCTTAGAGGGACTTGTCAGCTCTCCGAAGTCAGTTAAGAAATTAAGATTAGGAATCTGTTGGTCAAAACATTACAACCACATGATTAAACTTCTCTTAAATTAAAAATGTATTGGGGATATACCAATTGAGATTATTCCTCACACTACCTTGAATTCCTCAAGGGG